CTATAGAGGACCCAATACTGTTAGCTTCGCATTCAAATTCTGTCAGTCATTATTTAATTCATCTAACATTGAGCATCCTCCGAGAACAAAGTCCTGTGCTAGATATTGAGAATTAAAGCATGAATAAAATAGTCCTGATTATCTAGAAATTTAAAATATAGTTGGGGATTCAAGTATTAAAAGGTTATGACCACCATATGGGACGTGTAAGACATTTCTTAGAATTGTGTAGAGTGTTATGGGAGCACATCAAAAGGAGTATCTGTGAAAGATGTGAGGTTAGAGAAGGTTCCTAAATGGAAAACTATGAGTCTTAGAGGAAACACTAGAAGTTAAACAAGCAGGAAAGGATGGTGTGGTCAGTAAGGGCAAGTACAGGCAAAGGCTTAGAGGTGAGAAGCAGTACAAGGAATGGTGAGAAAGTGTCATCAGCACAGGGGACCTTTGAGGCAAGTCCAGGGAACACACCCTGGATAGTCTTGTGTTTTCTAGTAAGGAGCTGGGTTTGCCTAGAAGGAAAAAAAAAATTTGAGATGGAAGTGGATTTAAATATGAATTATGATTTTAAGATTAATTCCCTGTTCATTTATTTATCCATAGAACAAAAATTTATTGAGTGCTTATTCTTTGTCAGACACTGTGTTAGGCATGAGGAGCTCAAAGATGATCTCAGCCCATTCCCTGCCTCAAGGCATTCAGTGCCCCATGATGCCTAAGGGACTTTCTTTGGCTCATGCCCATGCCTCTGCAGTGGGAAGAGCTTTATCTGCCAAAGGCTTTATCCTTTTACAGAGTGAACTTCAAGGGAGTGTGCCAAGGGTTGGCCCAGATTGGCTGATCATCCTGAGAAGCTCATGGCTGTTGTGTACTGACAGCAGGGCATAATCATACGTGATTTGGCAGCTGCCATGCTAACACAAACCCTCATTTTCCTGAAATAATTTAGAAATACCTTGGAAATCCTCTTGGGCACATTAAGTTGATACAGTACAGTGATGAGTTGGCAGCATGCTTTTTTGCCTTTTTTTTTTTAAAGTCAGTGAGAATTTCATCTGTGTCTTTTCTGTCAATCCAGACCTGCTCAGTCTGGAACTGATAAGGCTTGTGAAGGTGATGAAGTTGGTCCCTCCCAGCTGTTACTTTGCTGTCCTGCTGCTTCATGGTGGTCCCATGTGGGTCTCTCCTCCCTAGATCTATAGTGATGTCTATTTCAAGTTGAGTACAAATATGCGTTGCAAGACAAAATGTTAGAGCAAATTTGGGAGAAATATGTATTTTTTGTGAAGTGAATTCTCTCTCTTTTATTTTTTTGTTACAAATTGGGAATTTCTGGAGGTTAGGGGATAGGAAGAGTTGAAATTTGTGAAATGAGGATGAAAAAGATACTTTCTCTTGTCCTAGCCCATCATAGGTATCTTTACTGAGAACTGTCATCTTTCTTTCCTACCCTCTTCCAGTTTATAGTAATTTCTTCTTACCTGGTAATACTTGAGTCTCATTAATAGTTCACAGGAAATATCCCCTTCCCTTGTACCTTTAAATGCATAGTTATAATCTCATGTGGACTTCTTTAGTCAGAATCAAGAACATCAAAATAGCAGTTGAAGCCCAAGACCCTTTGAGATCCAGAGATGTCTTGATGTGATTTTTAATTCAGAGCAGGGAAAGGCCATGTCCAAATAGAATGGACCTAGGGATGTTAAGAGTGGGAGTCCAGTTGTAGTTTATAAAGAGCTCCACTCACCTCCCACCAGAGGAACCAGATGTGGTGGGCTCGTTTCTCTGGGTAATCTGTGAAAGTCACCTCAGGGGCTAAAGTTTTGAGAGTTGAACGAATGATTGAATATTTTGACAAATAGTAAATTTTTATCTCTCACAAAAGAGTTGTTTCATAAGAGTACAAGCAAGAGACACAAAATCTGCCACATTATATATATTAGACAGTAATGTCTTAAATCTGAGATTGCCATTTCTAGAAAATTAAAAGCTATTGCTTTACTAAATTTTAGTAATAAGGGTAGGATCAGTTAAGAGTCAGTTCTTGACAGCATCTTGTATCCTACTAGTAGTCACCTTTTCCATGGGAAGCTATGGTGGTTGAGAGCAGTCATCTGGCTAGTATGGGCAGGAGTCCCTGTGCTTCTTGAATCGGGGAGAAAGCCATTCTGCACCAGGCCCAGCCTCAAGGATGAACCCAGGTGCTTTATTTTCCTTTCCTTGTTTTGTATGCCTTAGAAAGAACTCGGGACCCTAACTTAGTAAAAATTTATATGGACCCCCACTTTCAGTTTCATTTTGCCCTCCATATTCATCTGCTGTGGGCTTGATTTTGGCCATTTCTCAGGTGAACTATCATGATTGCTTTTGATTTTTTTCTGTGCCATATGTGCCTTAACATCATTGAAGGGACTGTGACAAGTGGCCACATTTGAAGCATGGAGGCCCAAGCAGATATTCTGTATTGTGAACCTAAAAGTCATGATGGCTTTCTCAGCTTTAATTTCTGATAGTAGCTTTTTTAGCAGTGCTCTAGACCCAAAGGACTCTGTAGGTTTAAAGATATTATTGGTGTTAAGATGAGTTTAGTCATTAATGAAGACCCGTGGTCATTCTAAACTTTGTTTTGACTCTTCCTTTTAGACCACACCAGTGACAATGCAAGTTGGAGAAGGTCAGCAGGTACAGATTGTCCAGGCGCAACCTCAGGGTCAAGCCCAGCAGGCTCAGAGTGGCACTGGTCAGACCATGCAGGTGATGCAGCAGATCATCACTAACACAGGAGAGATCCAGCAGATCCCGGTAAGCCTGCCCCTAGATTGCATGGCTCTGTTCTCAGCTTATGATTGAAAATACTTTAAGATTTCATATATCATATACTTGAAGTTTTGGGTATGTGCTTTTGTTGTTGTTTTTATACTGAGGACTTTACCCAGGGTTGCTTTACCACTGAACTATATTCCCAGTCTTTTTTATTTTCTGAGATAGGGTCTTGCTAAGTTGCTGAGGATCTTGCTAAATTACTAAGGCTGGCTCAATCCTGTAATTCTCCTGCCTCAGCCTCCCAAGTTGCTGGGATTACAGGTATAAGCCATAGCACCTAGCTGTGCTTTTTTTTTTTTCCCCCATTTTTTTTTTATTGATTGTTCAAAACATTACAGAGCTCATGATATATCATCTTTCATACATTTGACTCAATTGAGTTTTAACTGTGCTTTGTTTTTAACCTGTTTCCATTATACCCTGTGCCCCCACCCCAGTGTGCTTCACTGTGTTTACTTTTCATTCTGCATTAATTGATTCATGGAGTGGCTCCTCTCAATTTCTGCTCACTCCACTTATACAGAGAAATGATTATAGCTGCTACCCGATGCTAAGGCCCAAAATCCTTGTGAGACAGTCCTAACCTTTGATTAGCAGAGAATAAGAGGGAGGTGTATAGGGAAGGCCATAAATAACACTTGTTGCATATTCATGAGTCAGTTCCCAGTGGAGCCTGCAGCAAAGTATATTTTTGGCTTTCATTTAACTTACCCATTTCTTTACTGTAGGCTGTAGCTTCCTGTGTGCCTTGAGGGATTTCATAGATTTGTTGCTTTTTTACTTATATTTGTTTCTTTGTTTAAACAAAAAAAGTAGGGGTGCGCGTGTGTGTGCGTGCGCGCGCATGTGCTTGTGTTTATATATATATATATATCATTGCTTTAACATTTGTAAACTATGTTGGTCAATTTGCCACCAAAAACTGGAAATTGAGTGGCAGAGAGCAGTGCTTTTTAAATTTTATTTTAATAATTAACTAATTTTGTAATACTGTGGCTTGAACCCAGGGGTGCTCTGCATCAGAGCTACATCCCTAGACCCCTTTTTATTTTGAGACAGAGCCTCACCAAGTTGCCAAGACTGACTTTGAACTTGGGATCCCCTCCTTCAGCCTCTGGTGTAGCTGGCAGTACAGGCGTGAGCCACTTTGCCTGGCTTTAGTGTAGTCATTTATGAAATGTAGGCCGATAGAAACTAACTTTGACTTGGTTGGCCACCTCCTCTTTGAAAAAAAGCTCAAAAAGTATCCTTAGCTTAGTTTTAGGAACTTCTTAAGTTTCTCTCAGTTACACAAACACACATCATCAATTCCAGGTGACTAGGCTCTCTGTACCTTTCTTCAACCAACCCCAAGACCTCGATATTCAGTAGTTAGCTTGCTTTCTTTCTCTTTCTTGCTTTCTTTTCCTTCCCTCCCCCTCCCCTTTCTTTCTTTCCCAAAATAAAGTCATTTAAGCCAAAGATGAGATCTCACTTTGCAGTAATTTTAACCCTCTGCAGCACAAAGCTTCTGCCCAGATTTGTTATAAAATCTACCACCTCATCTTCACTGATATAGACATCTTCTCAGGAACCTGCATTTCCAGACTTTTCAGACCATTCAGCAGAGTGCTTGTAATTTAAGTCATGACTTTGGGATGGAAACTTTACTTCTCTTTTTTTTTGGTGGTACTGGGAATTGAAATTACATACAAGGCAAACACTCTACCAACTGAGCCTTATGCCAAGCCCCCTTTACTTCTCTTTCGAAAGCCCAAGGTTTAGGCTTATTTGCCCTGTAATTAAGTTAAAAAAAAAAAAGAAGAAAGAAAGAAAGAAAGAAAAATAAAACCTGTGAGGAGCATCTGACCCATCCTATCTTAGAGGACTAAGGGGCAGAGCATCACCAGGAGTTTTAACCCTAAGAAAAAACTGCCTCACTGTCTTTGAACTGCTTGGAATCATTTGGCTCACAGCTTTTGGAATTTCTGCAAAGGCTCTTTCCTAGCTAGAAAATTTAAAATCCCTGTGGCTGTCCAGACACCTGCCTCCACTTCTGGGACAAGGCTTTAGCTTTTCATAAGATTTGGTGTGAAGCTAGGCCTGGCACCAGAGTTTCCCAGCAGTTCCTCTTGACATGGTCTCAGGAAAGAAATGACTGTGGGTCACAATATTCTTGTCCTATTTTCCTTTGAAACAGATTCTTTTTTTAAAAAATATTTATTTTTTAGTTTTTTTAAGTGGACACAATATCTTTATTTTGTTTTTATGTAGTCCTGAGAATCGAACTCAGTGCCTCATGCATGCTAGGTGAGCGCGCTACCGCTTGAGCCACATCCCCAGCCCTGAAACAGATTCTTAATGGGTACCTCAGGCAGATAGTTCTGAAATGGTCAACCAAGCACTGTAACCACTGAGTTAGTTTTTCTGGGTGTTTGAAACTTTTGAGGCTGGAAGTTTCAGAGAACTGTTTGATTTAACACTGCATGCAGTAGTGCTGCTGCATCCCATCAGCTTTTGCCTCAGGGAAGTAACATTCCTGCAGTGAAGTTAGCCTTTGGAGGCCAGAAGGAAATGTGCTCCAGGACAAAGAGGCATGAAGTGCCCATCAGCCTGAAAAGGCTCCTTCCAAAAGCAGAGACAGACTAGGCAGCTAGGAAGGTGGTTTTGGGGCCCACAGATAGAGATAGACCAAATCTGCCTGTGCTCCCAGAAACATTTCAGCTTTGAGCCACGGGTGTGAACATCTGCTGTCCTCTGCTGAGCCTTGGTCTTCTCTTCATCCTGGCTCTAAGCGCTAATACTTTCATGGCACACTGGAGCGTTAAGAGCCTGAGTTAAAGCTTTTAGCACACAATTAAATGCAGCCTGTGGTATTATTGTATTATCTGAGATTTAATTGTAAGCATGAGAGACTCTTAAGGGCACTTTTGTAGCTTTGTTTTCCCATGATGGGGTTTTCTGTGAGAGGTTTATTGATTTTGCTTCCCCTTGGGAGGTGTTTGGCCAGAAGCTAGTGCTGAACACCCAGGATCCTCAGAGTCCCACAGACCCCCATTGATCATGGCTTTTGGGAGCAGAGGTAATAAAGCAGGATAGCTTTTTCCTCACAAGATGTGTAACATGGAGTTGGGCAGTACTAAAGCTGAGACACAGGATGACAGCATATCTTTGGGCTCCTAGCAGACAGTGGAACTCTTCACAGTATTGGGAGGTGTGGAGATGAAGGGCAAAGAAATCCACACTTACTACAGCCATTCTGACAATGTTAGACAGATTTTAGGATTGATTGCTTATATAAATTTTGATCATACAGCCATGAGCCAGCAGTTCTCTTGCAACCATGCTGTTCTCCCATACTCGACAGGATCTACATACCTTCTTTTGTATTCTGTTACTTGTGGGGAGGGGGTGTTATCATTTTGCTTGTTTTGATCTGTTTAAAGAGACTTTTGTTTCACGGCAGCTTTCTTTGGAAGACTAAGGGGCAATACCCATCTCTGATCATGGGAAGTTTGCCTATAGAGATTGCACTCATACAAACTGTGGTCTGTTTATCTCTGCCCCTGACCCAGGTGCAGCTGAATGCTGGTCAACTGCAGTATATCCGCTTAGCCCAGCCTGTATCAGGCACTCAAGTCGTGCAGGGACAGATCCAAACACTTGCCACCAATGCCCAACAGGTATGTACCCCAGAGATGGAGGGCTTGAGTTGGAAACTAGTAGCAGCTCTCTGGCTTCTGGCTAGAAAGGAGCCCTCAGCATACAATTCTCACTACTTTTAGGAAGACACCCCTCCCACTCCCCCAGGCCCCCAAAAAGTCTCTTCTGCCCAAGGGACTGATGAGGGTAACTGGAAGATTGAGTTCAAAGGGTGTCACTTACATCTTGTTCTTGAGGGGCAAAGGAATGTCGGGAGGATACCTGAAAGAAGCCTAGTAAGTGCAAGTGCAGGTCAGGCTCGAGGAAGCCTAGTCCCTGGTCTGTTTCCATCTTTAAATCTGAATGGCTGTTGTGTTCTGGCACATCCTCTGCCCTCTGGAAAGCTTCTTAGAGTTTAACCCACCTCTGCATGTATCCTCAGCCAGAAGACTTACCCTCTGTCTCCTCCCTTGCCCTATAATACCAAAGGCTGTTAGTCAAAGAGCCAAGGGGGCAGCCCCCCTGGCCTTGGGTTGAGGGTCGTGGGCATCATTTACAGAGGATGGGGGACACTGTTCAAGGGAAGTCATTGTTAATGGATTCTTTGCCTCAGACCCAAAAAAAGCAGCAATCGTTTAAGAGCTGGACCTGTCTGGCCCAGTTGCATTTTTGGTGATGCATCTATTGACAGTAGTGACAGAGCTGAGTTTGTAGAGCAGGTCTCCAAAGATCTCATTTGAGCAAATGTGAGGAATGAGCCAAAGCAAGGCTTTTCAGTTCCATACAGTCTCTGGGATCATAAAAAGACCTTTTCCTTACCTATTCCCTGCACATCCATGAACCATGCGGGGCTTTTCCATGGTATTCTTGGAACTCATACTTGCATCTCAATACTGGTCACACCTTTGGGCCCCAAAATCTTATGAGAAGAGTTATTGGTTCCTCAGAGGTCAGTTTGGGATACAGAGCTATAGCCAGAAAATGGGGAGAGTTGGCCAAAGAAGGGAGGATGCAAGAAGAGGGTACCTGAGGGTAGTTAAAAATCTCCATAACAGCATGTAATTGTGGTAACCTGACATCAGTAGGTGCTCAATAAATGTTTGTTGTATGAATGCCAAGTAAATAATATGTATACGTGATTTAAAGGTAAATGAAATTTCCTTCCCAGCTGCTCTATATTGTCAGTCCTACTGGCCATAGGTCAGTTAACCTTTTTATGAGGAGATTCGTCCATTTGTTTCAGATTCAATTATTTATTCTGCAGAAATTTTTTGAATTTTTACACTGGCGATATAAAGAGTTCAACAGCTCTTGCTGTTGAGTAGCTTATAGATCTGCAGGAGAAGGAAAAATAGTAAGGAATTTTTATGAGGCCTTTTAATCACCTGTCCCCTTTCTTGTTCTTCATTGCCCCCTGGGTAGGCTGCAGAGGTTGTTTTTTGTCTGTTGTGAGAACATTCAAGAGGACCAGTCTTAACTTGCAGTTTGACTATGATGAGTCCAGGAGATGGTACACAGAGACCATTGCTCACCCTATGTTCCATAGACATACACACATGCAGAGGCTCTGGTCTTCTATTTAGTTTACCAAGCTGTTCCCAGTAGTGTGTGCTACTGGGTGTTCCACATGCCAGTAAATTTATTTTAAAATCCCCACATAAGATTTTAAGTGCATGTGATAAATGTTTTTCTTGCTGCACCCCTTGTTTCTCCCCCTCTCCTCCTTCTCTTCCCTTGACTCAGAGGGCTGCACATTACCTCACTCAGAAAAAGCACTTCATAGGCTTTTCATGAGGACCACCAGGGCCAAGGCCACTGCTTACCAAGGTGTTTCATATTCCACTCAGATAAATCTGGGTCATAGGTTGGTTTGAAGCCCATCTTCCAAGGATGAAAGGGACCACTCACCACTTTGCCCAAACATTTTGCCTTTACTGGCTGATAGATGGACTCTTAGGGTTTCTGCCCCATACTATAAATGTTATTCCCTCTCATGATAAAACCACAGAGCTAGGTGTTCTCCTTGAGCCTTAGACTTTAAAGTGAGGGGATAGTTGCAAGATGAGGACATTAAGGGATAGGAGCCTGAGAGTTGTGTCTTACATGCTCCATTGTTCTTCATGTACCTGTGTGGTGCCAACTCTGGGTAGCTGGGCGATTGGGAGGGACTCTTGCCCTCATCAAGCATCCATTTTATGCAGGCCTTGTTCTGGGCACACTTTGTAGGCATTGTTCCTGATTTTCGTGGTGGTAGGCTGACATGCAGCTTATTTGCCTACTCTACCATCTTGCTTTCCACAGATCACACAGACAGAGGTCCAGCAAGGACAACAGCAGTTCAGCCAGTTCACAGATGGACAGGTAGGGTACCCAACCTGGGCAGGTCAAAGGGCAAGGAGTGGGGTGGGGGACGAGTTGTGGGTGGTATGTGGGTTTGGGTGGTTAGAGTTATTGGCCTATCCTCTGCTAACAATGAGGGGACAGAAATTGTTAAAACAAGTGAAATCTTTAAATCAGGCATGTATCCTTTATATATGTAGGCATGTGGGAGCTAAAACCACTCTTAGACACTATATAGCCCAAATGGCCATTTTACAGAGGAGTAAACTCAGCCCTAGGGATGGGAAGTGCTTTATCCAACTGTTAGTTGTAGGGTAGAATTCAATCTTCTGTTTCCCACTCTAGGACTGTTTTTGTCCTAAGTCCTTATTCTTTTTAATAGCACATATGAGTTCAGCTCATGTGACCTCTTGAGCTCTCTTGATGCCAGGATTTAGTAATTGTAAACATGTACAAGGAAGAGCCTTCCTTTTTTCCCCTGCTCTCCCCTCATCAAGTGCTCCCAAAGACCACAGAGTACGTATGTGATAGGATAACGTGTCCAAACTTGTACTGTCCATTGGCCAAGAGAGAGAAGAGCTGGCATCAAAACTCACCACTGACTTCTGCAAGTACCAGATGCTAGACCCTTAGGCCAGGGTTCCTATGGGTAGGGGTCTTAGTTTTGGGTTTTTTCAGGGCCCTAAGAAACCAGAGACCAGTAGGTCCTAACCTTACTAGCGACTGCATGAGCATTTTTTCTAACCCTCATGGGGCTTGTCTAATTGCAGGCCACCTCCTTTGCAGGACCCATGTAAGAAATGCAGGTTCAGTGTAGCTTCAGCCTGAGCCAGGTATTCTGAGGAAAGGAGAAGCAGGGGTATCCTGCTGCCCCTTTCAGTGAGGATTGCAAAGGGGGAAATGCTGACTTCCAAGCTGCTGGTACAGTGGTCGATTGCTTGTGTTTGTCACAGAGGAACAGCGTGCAGCAAGCCCAAGGCTCTGAGCTAACGGGAGAGGCAGAGCCCAGAGAAGTGAAAGCCACAGGAAATGCAACTCCCTGCACCTCTTCCCTGCCCACCACACACACTCCCTCCCACCAGGCTGATGCCTCCTGTGTCTGCTGCTCCCTGCCCCAGCAGAGCGCCACACCTGCTCCTCCCTCTGATGCCTTGCAGTGGGTGGTGGTTGAGGTTTCTGGGGCCCCCAACCAGCTCGAGGCCCATAGGGAGCTGCATGCCCCTCTCCCAGGGGTGACCTCACTCTCTCCTCTCCACCCCTCGCAGCAGCTCTACCAGATCCAGCAAGTCACCATGCCTGCGGGCCAGGACCTCGCCCAGCCCATGTTCATCCAGTCAGCCAACCAGCCCTCGGATGGGCAGGCCCCCCAGGTGACCGGCGACTGAGGGCCTGAGCTGGCAAGGCCAAGGATACCCAACACAATTTTTGCCATACAGCCCCAGGCGATGGGCGCAGCCTCCCTCCCCAGAGGACCCTGCCGACCTCAGCGCCTCCTGCAGGCTAGGACATTGGTGCACTACACCCCACGCCTGTGGGCCGAGATTTTCCAACAAAAAGATGCAATATTTTTTATTTCCTTTTTTTTCCACTTTTTTTCTCCAAGAAATCAATATTTCAATGTCAAGCTGTGTGTCCAATGCTATGAAATGAGAATATTAAATAACATATTTATGGCATTTTCTTGAAGTGTGTGGTTGAAGAAATATTTCTCCTTTGGTTTTTCTTGTTCTGCTTCTCACCGCCACTTGTTTTAAGAGATCTTCCTGGGGTGCAGAGGATATCCTGATTCTTAGAACAGCTGCTGTCCCAAGATTTGCCACCTTGTTCTGTGTTCAGACAGGGTCAGGTGAATGTGTGCAGCTTCTTTTCTCTCATGCTCTTCTCCCCATCCCCATCTCCATTTTCACCCGGAGCTCTATGTTTGTATCCAGAGGCCACAGGAAGCATTCCTTGCATTTTGGAGATGAACTCATTCCCCATGGAGAGCAATGGTTTATTCCTACACCTTTCTCTCCTGGGAACCCAAGGAGACTAGAATTTCGTGTATGTGCTGCCCTCCTCCTTTATTTTATTTTTTTAAATGCATTAAAAATTGTGCTAGTCTCCTTTGCTGCATGGACTTCAAAACTGCATGAAATGCAATAAATCTCATTTTAGATACTTTAGAGTCAGTTTCTGTGTCTGGGGACATTAATGGGGCCACTTTGCTTGGGAAAGGTTTGTTTGCCCTTGGGTATCTGGAAAGAAGGGGCACCCTTGTGAGAAGGGGGCATATCTGAGCCAAACTGAGGTCCCCAGTTTTATAAGTGAGCTTCACCAAAACACATTTGTTGCTCAGAAAGACCTGCCCAGCTGACCTAACTGGACTTTCAAACAGAGAACTGTGGCCCGCTTGGATGAGGGCTGATGGGGCATCTCTCCCAGAGAATGCTGGCTGTATCCTGCAAGCAAGGAAAAAGGATCTAGGCCCTTTGTCAGCCAGCAGCTCATAGGACTTTTATAGCCAGAGTCTGGGTCTTGTCCATTGAAGCAAAGAGAATAGAAAGCACCAATGATGAGCATCTTTCTGACCCCCACCATGCCATCTTTACAATCAGAGTGGGACCAGTGTGGTGGGAATGGCAACGAATTGGGTACTGCAAGGAAAAGCAGGTGTTCAT